GCAAGGAACTGTCCTAGCTTGGTACATAAATTGAAAATCTAACTGAGAAATATACTCATATAACAAATAGCTGATTGGCAGTGGTGGCACATGCCTTTAATCCCAGCACTTGGGAAGCAGAAGAAGGCAGATCTCTGTGAGTTCGAGCCTGATGTGCAACAGCTAGTTCCAGGACAGCCTCCAAAGTCACAGAGAAACCCTATCTTGAAAAACCAACCAACCAACCAAACAAACAAACAAACAAACACAAAATGAAAACAAAACAAAAACCAAAAAACCAAATAGCTGAGTCTCAACCAATTGGAGCAACTAAGTATCTGTCAGTCATGGACTACCCATTCATCAGACTAGGCCCAGATAAGGCAAATCCAGAGCCATAAACGAACTCATTAGTTTGTATATCTCACTTCCAGGTTCTGTTTGTCAATATTCCCTCTGGACCTCTTCTGGTTCTAAATGATGTCTGATTTGACAAATTGTTCAGGTAAGTTATTCAATTTAAACTGTCTTGATGGGGGATGGCCTTCTGTATGCTGTAAATATATGTTTCTCTTACTGGTTGTTGAATAAAACTGTTTCAGCCAATGGACAGGCAGAATTTAGGCAGGTGGGAAATCCAAACAGGGACAGCGAAAGGTAGTAGGTAGAGTCAAGGAGATGCCATGTAGCTGCAGAGGAAGAAGAGGCCTAGGCATCACTGGTAAGCCAAGACCATGTGGAAATACACAGATTAGTAGAAAAGGGTTAATAGTTAAGAGAGAGCTAGCCAACAAGAAGCCTGGGTCATCCTCCAAACAGTTTATAATTAATATAAGCCTCTGTGTGTTTATTTGGGACTAAACAGCTACAGGACTGGAAGAGACAGAAACTTCCATCTACACTGTCTGTTTTTTCTTTTAATGTCATTCTCACCCCTCACCTAAACGGATAATGATTAGTAAATGACATAAGATAATATGTTTTTATTTATTTTCACTGTGTGTGTGTGTGTGTGTGTGTGTGTGTGTGTGTGTGTGTGTGTGTGCACGCACTCAAGATTGAACCTGAAACTTCATGCCTACTAAGGTTAGTGAGATGTGCCAGGTTTAGTTGTTCACACGGGGGAGGACTGCATTCTGAGAGACATTATCAGATAAGGTAGGAATTCCAAGATCAGACGTGCACATCTGTTTAACCTCTGATCCACCACGTTACTATGGGTGTATAATTGGTCTTATGATAACAATCCACTCTTTTGGGAACTCATGCACTCCACAGACAAGCATTAATGCCTCCTGAGGGTGGTATCCACTATTCTGTGTTTAACTTAATGAGCTCTGGGCACCACCTCACAAAGGTCTTACCACCTCCATACCACACCACACTGAGACCAAGTTTGCAGTCAGAGAACCTTTGGGGTACAGACCACAACCAAATCATAGCAATATGCCTTCATCTTTATTGAGGTAAAGCTCAGCTAAAACAAAAGCCATACATCTAATGTGTATATTTCTATCTGACAAATACATTCAGGCAGCCTATAATAATCGCACATCCACTACCAAAGCCAAGCTATAATCCTGGTCTATTATACAAAGGCTTTCATCATAGCATTTCTTGCCCCTCCTAGTCCCTGTGAACCACACCCTGATTTCTGCCTCTACATCTGTCTTTTTACAAATGGAATCATATTGGGTGTACCTTTTTGTGTCTGGCTTCTGTCATCTTATATGCTGCCTTTGGGTTGTGTCATGTTTGCACTTATCAGTAGTTTGTATTCCTTTCCACTGCTGAGTGGGATGTGAATATGAGAGTTTAAGTCTGGGAATGAAGTATCCTCCAAAGACTTGTGTTAAAGGCCTAGTCCCTACTGGGTGGCATTCTTGGAAAGTGTTTGAACTCTTGACCTTATCAATGGATTAAGTGACATTATTGGAAGATAGGGACTAGCTGGTCTAAAGCAACAGAGCAAGTTGACCATGGCTTAAAACATCCGAAATCATGACTAAAAATAAATCCTTCCTCCCTTAAGTTGTTGTTGTTGGTGTTGCTGGTATTTTGTCACACGATGAAAAGTCAAACATGGAGGCTAGTGAGATGGCTTGCCACCAAGATGGAGGACCTAAGTTCCATCACTGGAGCTGACATGGTTGAAGGAGAGAACTGATTCCTCAAAGTTCTCCTCTGATCACAAGCACTATAGCACATGGCTATACTAGTACAATCAATTAATCATCAACCAATCAACTAACTTTGAAAAAGAAAGGCTGTACACTGATGCCAGCATTTGAATTGTCTTCTGTCTTCAGCCTTTAGCAATCATTAGAAAAGCATACTCAAACACTTCTGTATGATCTTTTTGCAGCTAGATGTTTATATTCCTCCTGAGTAAATAGCTAGGAGTGAGGCCGCTGGGTTGCATAGTAATGAATAACCCATTGACTATTAAGATTTGATTTCCCTTCCCCTTTGCCCTCTTCCCTTCCTCATTTTTTATCAGTTACCATTTCCTCTCCCTCATTTAAACTGGGTCCTTCTTCATTCCATACAAATATACTCAAATGTTTGTCCTCTGTCCTCCTATCAAACTCACCCACAAAATTCCATCCCACTGCCCTTCTGTTCTGTCATACTGGGGGCTACTTTATGTATCTTGAGAAAAATCATTCATGGGACATGAATGGGTGATTTTTAATCACAAATGGGCCTTAGTGGGGAAATCTATGTATTTCTGGTTAGCAGTCCTGTTCCCAGCAGCTATCTCAGACCTAACAAGCTTTAGGCCCCATTTCCCACCTCCCTTCTGCTGTGTGATCACTGATCACAGTGGGGAATCCCTCAGACACCCTCAGTTATGTATCTCCTTGCTTGTACTCCCTTGCCCCCCTTCCATCTGTTCTGAGGAAGACTGAGCATTGCCTCTGGCTGCCTAGGGCAGATCACTCCATCTGTACTCCCTCTGGAATCATCACTTGTAAGATGTGTCTTTCTCTGCATTGCTACTTCATAACTGTAATTTTGCTACTGTTATGAAGCATAGGGTAAATACCTGTTTGATGATAGTCATATTTGTCCAACCCCCAAGATGAGAACCACTGTTCTAGAAGGGAATCAGAAAACTAGCCAGCCCTTTATAGACACACTTGCACATGTATATAGTTCTTTCCCCATCCACATAGTGAATCAGATGTTGAGTTAAGAGCTGTGTAAATAGGAAACTTATGTAACGCAGCAATGAAAACAACTAACTTATAACCATATGCGACAGTTTTGACAAATCTCATAGATTCAATATTGAATGAAAGAATCCATCTATAAAGAGTAGGTTAGAATTTAAATCTCAGACTATAGGGACAAAAACAATGATTCCATTTTGTTATACATTAAAAAAAAAAACCTTGGGCTATATGGATGACTCTTGCTTTTAAACTTTCAAACACACACACACACACACACACACACACACACACACACACACACACCTGAAGCAAACCCAGGACCATACTTCACAATCCTTTACAACAAAGTACCATTGAACTATACCCTCTGCCCATTTTTGGACTCTTAGGCTATGAAACATCCCTAGTTTCAAAAACTTCTCTCAAAAAAGCTACAGTGACATTGCACTTGTAGGAAGAGCTTGCTAAGTACGTAAATAGACATCGGTGTGGTTATCTTTACTAAATATGATCTACCACCCTTGTGTTATCTTGTTCATGTCCATTTATGGCTGATGTACATCTCCAAACCCCACACTTCTATTATCTCTTGTACTATTACTCCACAGATATCTGTTTTCCATTATCAGTTAAACCACCCCTAGAATTACTTGGAATACCAGCTTCAGACATGCATACCTGTGTGGGATTATCTTAATTGCTTTAGTAATTGCCTTAACTGAAATGAGAAGATGTGCCTGGTATGGATGGCATCATTGCCTGGCAGGGGATCCTAGATTGTGTAAACACAGAAAGGGACCTGAGCAGCAGTGTGTGTCCACTTCTCTTCTGGCTGTGGATGACCAGCTGCTTCAAGCTCCTGCTGCCATGACTTCGTGGCCATGAGGACCTTATCTTGATCTGTGAACGAAAATAAACCCCTTTCCTCCTTAGTTGCCTTTGTCAGGGTATTTTTATCACAGTCAGAGGGAAAGTAACTAAGACAGCAGAGTTTTGAGCAGTCCTTCTATGGAGGGACATAATCTGGTGTAAATAATGGACGGGGGATAAAGGGAAAATCAAGAAGCTATTGCAACAGTGCAGGGAAAGCATATTTGGTGCTTTGCTCTTGGATGATGGTGGCAGGTATATAAGTCAGAAGACGACATTGTATAACTTATTTACAGCATTACTTCTATTTTGCATTGAATGGATCGCTAATGCTTCCTCGGTGAATTTTTTTTTTCCCAAAGGTAGTGATGGGAGAAGCTGAGGAAAATTTAAAGTTACCGTGGATACAGGATCGTATAGATCTGACCGCCTTAGCGGGTTCTAGGCCTCAAAGCCTCTGGCGCAGCAATAATTTAACTGCCGAGCCCCCAGCCGCTTCTCAGTGACCATGCGCAACAGGCCAGCTAAGAGCCTATGGAAAGCACAGGAGTTTCTTGAAATCCAGGCCAGCGGACCCCGGGAATCGTAGTTCAAAGCTTCTGCGCAGGCGCAGTGGCTCCCGCGGGCTTGCGTGCGCAGCTGCAGCGGGACAATGTTCTGAAAGCTTATTGCGGTGGAGCTGGCTGCGGATGCTGTTGCAGGTATTGGTTTCCGCCATTGCTTTTGGAGCTGCGTGGGTTGCGGCCTCCGAACGCACACTTTAGGCTGGTTGGGACCCACAGCATCCCACGGACCTGGCACAGCGCTGCAGCCGCCGCTGCGGAGGCGTGCACTTCTGCAGCACCGCGCCATCCCGTCCTTCCAGTTCCTCCTTGTGCTCAGGGATTGAAAACTTCGGCACCGTTGGTATTTTGAACGGGATAAATCCTTGGTTTGTTTGCCCGCCCGCTCGCTCGCGCGTGTTTGTGTGTATGTGTGTGGTCCTTGTATTAGATGTTTAGCTGCATCCCTGGCTGTATCTCTGAAATCATCCTTTATCCTGGGTCTTATTGAGCCAGAGCGTCTGCAGGCTTTGCCAGCTGACACCTGTGGGGCAAATTGCCGCTGCTTTTCTCTCTCAAGTTGAGAATCTTTACCTGCGTCACATTTTCACAGAGCCTCTATTAAGCAGCTGCGCATGTCTCAGTCACTGCGGAGACTCAAGTGCCCAAAGGGACGCCAGGTAACATGGTGGGCACCTGATGATTAGCAAAGAAGTAAATGATATGCATGCTGTGTGTTGGGTCCTAAGATGGGTAGTTAACGCTATGCTAGTTGCAGTAAGATGCTCGTCCATCTTGCCCAATAGTGGTAATAAATCTTAGGTCATCTTTTTTTGATGTAAGTGATCTGTACATGCCTGTCCCTACAGTTCCCATTCCCATATCTGTAGATGCACAGTCATTTATGGAATGAATGAATGAATGAATGAATGAATGAATGAATGCAGCACAGGCCAGGCTGTGTGCAAAGGGCCATTTGGGGGATCAGAGGGAAGCTTCACAGGAAGGTGGTGGTGGTGATGGTGGGTTTGGGGGTAGTGGTGGTGATGGTGGGGGTGGGGTGAGTAACTGAGAAGAATCAGGGGTTTTGCTTTTGTTTCTTGTGGGATCCCCCCCCCCTTTTTGGTGGTGGGGGCCGTGTGTGTGTGCGCGCGCGCGTGCGTGCATGCATGCATGTGTGTGTGTGTGTGTGAATTGAAACCAGAATCCACATGCTAGGCAAGTGTCCGACCACTGAGCAATATTTTCAGCCCTGATTTTATTTTGTGTTTATGGCTGTTTTGCCTGCATGTGTGACTGCAGTGTATGCTTGTCAGAAGAGTGTTGGATCCCCTGGAACTGGAGTTACAGATTGTTGTGGGAGGCAATGTAGGTGCCAGAAATAGAATCAAACCCAGTTTCTCTACAAGAGCAGCAGGTTCTGTTCACCCCTGAGCCCCAGGAGTCATATTTTGAAGGATGAGTAAAGGATTGGTAAGAAGAAGATGGGACATTCCAAGGGACAAGGGGGACAGGATCTGTTGTAAAGGATAGGAGAGTGTTGGTATGTGGTATGTCTGTGTGGCTGCAAGGCTGGTTGTGAAGTATCTATGCAAATCTCTAGGTTGTTCTGTGCTCTTTGCATTGAACTTGGTCTTAGTGGACCCATGAGGGCTTCCAAGCAGAAAAACAACAGGATCAGCTTCTGAACATTAGGAGAAATCCTTTGGCTACAGTGTGAGAGTGGATGGAAAAGAAATATACTTTGGAGCGCAGCCCCAAGGATAAGAGCACTTGCTGCTCCTCAGAGGACTGGCAGCTCACAGCCTTTTGTAACTCCAGCTCCAGGGGATCCAATGCTGCTGTCTGATCTCCATGGGCACACACAGTACACATACATACATACAGGCAGGCAGGCAAAGCACTCATAAAATAAATAAATATAAAAATAAATGTTAAGATGGAGAGGGTCTGAGCTTCATCATTTACAATGTGGAAAGTAAGAGGGGTAGGAAGTAGTCAAATATGAAATCTGATTTCTGAGTTGGACAACTGGTAGGAAATGCGTGTTTGTTGAAAAGGACTGGACCTGTCGGATAGGTTTGTGACCTAATCATTTGGAACTGGGAGACTCTTCTGTTCATTTTGTTTGTGAGGAGTAGTATTAAGTCTAAAATAACTGTGTGATTGCAGAGTATGTTTCATTGTCTTTATTGGACCCTTCGGTTTTTATTCCATAAAGATTCTCCTTTTGTGGGGTTGGAGAGATGGTTCAGAGGTTAAGAGCACTGGCTGCTCTTCCATAGGTCTTGAGTTCAATTTCCAGAAACCACATATAATGAGATTTGGTGGTCTCTCCTGGTGTGCAGGCATACATGCAGAGAGAACACTGTTAACATAATAAATCTATATGGTTCTCCTGTGCCTCTATGTGTATAGGTATGGGTGTAGAGGGGGTTGCATGGCTGGGTGAGAAAAGCAAATGTTTTCAGAATTAACAATCTGCTTACTCATTTAACATCTTTGTTTCTTCTTGACAGTTCCTTCAAGACTGTAAATTGGATTCCTGGAGGCCTTGGTAGTTTGCTGTGCATAGATAGTGCCTGTTGGCAGATCACACATACTCAGATAGTCTAAAGAGGACTGGATTCCTGCTGGTAACACAGTGCAAGCTTTAGTGCCCTCAGACCTCATGGCAGCCATGTCCCAAGACCCTCCAGCTGTGACTTCAAGTGAACAAAGCGGGGTCCCTAGCGTGGATACTTCTAGGGTCCAAGAAAGGCTCTTAAGAGGATATGCAGATGACCTAGATTCTTTCAGGCAGAAGTTTAGGTGGTTTTGTTACTCACAAGAAGAAGGACCCAGAAAAACCCTGAATCAACTCTGGGAACTCTGCAAGCAGTGGCTGAGACCAGATATTCACACCAAAGAGCAGATCTTAGAGCTATTAGTGTTTGAGCAGTTCCTGAGGGTTTTGCCTGGAGAGACGAGAATTTGGGTGAATTCTCAGCATCCTGAGAATAGTGTGAAGGCAGTAAGCCTGGTAGAAGATTTGAACCAAGCACTTGAAGAAAGGGAAGGTGAGAGTTGCAGGTGGAGGGGGGGGGTGTCCTAAAGTTTGAAATAAAATTTGAAGATTGAAAATTAAGAATTAAAATTATATATTCAAAGATGAGGTATAGTTTAAGTCAGTGGTTCTCAACCTGTGGGGCCAAGACCCCTTTGGGGGTCAAACGACCCTTTCATGGGGGTTGCATATCATATATCCTGCATACTAGATATTTACATTCTGATTCATAACAATAGTAAAATTACAGTTATGACATAGTAACAAAAATAATTTTATGGTTGTGGTCATCACAACATGAGCTATATTAAAGGGTCACACAGCATTAGATTGAGAACCACTGATTTAAGGAAAAGATTTGATTTTACAGATTACTTATAATAAATTTTGCATTGTCATGTCTCTTCTTAGTGGCCCTAATTTGAAAATTTAGCATGTTGGAGTGATAAACAAATCAGAGAGGAGTTGGGCAGCCCACATTTTAGGCATACCAGTTACCTGTGCGACAACAAATTGAATTGGTAGTGGTAAACAGTACCTAGCTATCTTAGAATCCATTCTGTCCATCACTGCTTCTCCAGAATCCTGGCCTCTGTGGAGGCTCCTATGATGAAGAATCCATTGCTAGCCACAATCTGTAGGAAAGAACAGTTTTCTTAAATTGATCCTCTTGTATCTTTTATAAAATTCTTCATTTTCCCCCAATTATCAGTCAGTATGGTTCTTGTTATAAGATGGTAGAATGTGATTTGGAAAAATCATTTCCCCTTTTTTGAAAATGACTCTTCATCTAAGGATGTTCAGCATGTTTAGTCACTGAATTCAGGCTCCTCCTGGGGTCCTGACCCAGTCTCCCACCCCTGAGACCTCAGTGAGCTCACCCAGAACCCCACACTGTTCTGTTTCCCCTGAAACACACAATAGAGTTTTCTTACTTCTAATCTAGTAGCCTTAGGAATCAGCTGGCAACCCCAGAGGCACAGTCAGGTTTTAGGCAGCTTAGTATCTTTGTAAGTAACAGCCGTAAATTTCATAAACAGCTGTAATGAGCAAAGCTGGCTTACCTCGACAGAGCTAATAAATTAGAAATGTTTTTAAACTATGTACAAAATATTTTACAGATAGGTGTTTGTGGAAGGAAGGGACTCAGTTTATGTGGACTCATGAACTGGAAAGCTCTTTTGATAAAATAGTGGGGAAAAGCCTATTTTCTAATATTAAAAAAAAAAAAAAAACTATCTCTGGTGGTTCTGTGTTTTAAAGAGAAGGAAAAATTGATTTCTGAACTCTCCTCCAGAGGGCCATGAAACACTATGGTGTTATGAAATATATATTTGACTTTTCATCCCCTCCTTGGCCTGCAGCCCCTATAGCCCTTGTCATTTCCCAAGTGACTAGAGCAACAAATGCCTTATTAAAATATTTGTCCTTTCCTCCTTAGTTCCTAAAACCTGGTCCAGAACCCTTGATTCATGTAAAGGTGAAAGACGGCCATCTTGTCATTACCATAGGCCCCTTGTAGCCATGCTCGGATTTAATGAGATGATATTTAGAATGTCCAGAGGTAACCACCCATGGAGGCAGATTTCCAGTGCAGTTATAGAAGGATGGAACTCACAGCCCCCACCTCCAGAGAGGAGAGGGACTGAAAGTTGAGATGATCTCCAACGATCTCATTATTCATGCCTATGTGATGATACCGGCTTACCAAAGCTGGGTACATGGGGACTCCTGGAGAGTGGAACACCTGAAGAGGGTATGCAGGGAGCTTATCTCTGGATGTGTACAGGCTGTAAGTTTAGAAGCTCTGAACCTTTTTCTATAGTGTTGCCCTGTGCAGCTTTTTTATCTGGCTGTTCATTTGTATCCTTTCCAATATCTTTTATAATAATTGGGTGGTAAACGCTTCCTGTGAGGTCTTCTAGCAAATTAGACCTGCCCAAACAAGGGGGCTGTGGTAAGTTCTGATTCCATACGAAGGATGGAGCTAAAAGACCAGATTGGTTTTTTCCCTTCCCAGATCGTAGCACTCAAGATTCTGCTGTTTGCAAAGTGGAGGATTTGGGAGAAGAGGCGATGGTGGTTGTTCCTCCACATCTGGAACCACGTGTAAGTGTTCTTTCGTTGGTTTTCATTCTTCAGTGGGAATAGTACTTAGTGAGCAACATAAAGATACAAAATCAACCAAGACAACTTGTAGGTCACTGTTTACTTGCTATTTACTTGGATCCACAGACTATAGCATAATTTCTGATGAAAAACAAAAGCCAGTGAGATGGCTGAGTAAAGGCTCCCGCAGCTGAGACTAATGGCCTCAGGATCTACACGGTAGGAGAGAACCAGCTCCAGTGGGTTGTCCACTGACACCCACAGGCATCCTGTAGCATACATGTGAACCACATCATCCCCCCCCAAAAAAAATTTTTTTTTGGGGGAAAGCATTTATGGAAACCCAAAGTTATTCTTGATGAAATGAGTCAGGTAGAAATAGAATTGTATTTCCCTAATATGGTAAAGAATATCTCCTCCTGGTTAGAAAATCAGGAGATATAAAAGGCAGGGCTCACAGTGTAAGCAAAAAGATCAGTATTTCCTGAACAATGCAGTCAACCAAGTGAGTAAGACAGAATTGAGGTGTACGTGTCAGAGTCTGAGAGACAAAGGCGTATTATTACAGACAATGTTACTGTCTATTTGGAAAGCCTTGGGATCAACTGAGTAAGGCTAGAATGCATGAAGTAACTGGGAAAAGCAATACAGATCAGTAAGTTTCCAGAAGCAGTAATTACTAGTTAGGAAAAATCTTAACAGTAGCAAGTGGTAATTCTACTGTAGGACAACAATGAGCTCCAGGAGTAGGTCCGCTTCCTGGTTCCTGGAATTTGTGAATATTATTTAATTGAAGAAAATTCATTCATTGCAAGTGTGATTAAGCTATGGGTTTAAAATGAAGAATGAGTGCTGCTAAACTTGAAAAAATGTCTGGGCTGTGGTGGTGCACACCTTTAATCAGTCCAGCACTCAGGAGGCAGAGGCAAGAAAATCTCTAAGTTCAAGGCTACCCTTGAATGGAGTAACTTCCAGGCCAGTCAGGGAAACCCTGTCTTGAAATATAATAATTTATAATAAAATAAATTAGAAAGATGGGGAGTTGATCCTGGGGTTATGAGTAGTCCCTAACACATAAATGCCCTTATTAGGGAAGCAGAGAGAATTTGAACACAAAGAGATGATGATAAAGAGAGGGAAGTAATTAGGAGTGACTGGGCCACAAGCAAGGGAAGATCAAGGAATGCTGGCAGCCACTGGAAGCTGGAAGAGGCAAATGAGCTCTCCCCCAGAGGCTCAAGAGAGTACACCCCTGCTAGCTCCTTGATCTCCTTTTTCTGGCTTCTGGAACTATGAGAGGATGTATTTCTGTTGTTTGAAGTCACAGGGCCTTGATTGGCTACATGCTATGACCCTGCAAGCTGCTAATCCCAGTGCTAAGAGGCAACATTGCCTACTTCCTGCATAGAGGATGCTGTACATCTATCATATAGAAAATAGGTAGGATGCACCTATAACCCCAGAACTCAGAAAACTGAGTCAGGATGGCTGGTTTGAAGCCAATGTGGATTCCAAGCAAGTCTCAAAGGAAAAGAAAAAAAAAGTGATTTTAATGTGAATGCAGCATACTTGTAAGCATGAGCATATTCCTGAACCAGAGTCTCTTTGAGTATATATTTTGAAATACTGCTGCAGCCGGGTGTGGCAATGCACACCTGTAATCCAGTACCAGAGGAGCCGAAGCAGGAGGTCCCTGTATGAGTTTGAGGCCAGCTGAAGAGAAAAACAGTACCCGAGTGACAAGACACGTCACTACTTCACAGGACAGCTGCTATTATGTATTTAACTATTACCTGTAGCTAGCTTGTAGTCTACAGATGTGAGGACGGGGAGTGCCAATTCATTCCCCTATTTATGGCTTTCTATTTAATCAGGAATTAATGTGTTAGGGTTAACTTGATCAGTGTTAACAATTTAGAGAAGTCTTGGAAGTCAATATATAATGCTAGATTCTTAAGTGGGAAAGGTCAGGACTATGATGTCCCCTTGCTCTGTGTTTCTTGTAATAGTTATATGGACTCTGGGACTTGCTTTGAAGCTTTAAAAAAACAAAACAAACAAACAAAAGAACACTTTCCAAGCCTGGACTAGAGAGATGGTTTGGCAATTAAGAGCACTAGCTGTTCTTTGCAAAGGACCCCGGTTCAGTTCCCAGTACTACACAACAGGTTACAACTGTCCTCCACTCCAATACTAAGGGATCCAATACCCACTCTTGGCCTTCAGAAGCACAAGTCATACATGCAGCATGCATACACACAGGCAGAACATTCATGTACATAAAAATAATTGTTTTAAAATTTTTTACTAGGCCCTGATTGGGCATGGGCCTATAATCCTGGCTACTCAGGAGGCTGAGGCAGGAGGAACTCAAGTTCAGAACTTGCTTAAGCAACTTAGTGAGAAACTATCTTGAAATAAAACGTAAAAGAGGTTAAGGATGTAGCTCAGTGATAGAACACTCACCCAGCATGCACCAGGGCCTGAGTTCAACTCCCAGCAAAACACATACACATAGAGACAGCTTGGATAACTTCAAACCACTTAATATCCTAACCACTTCTCTGAATCTTTAAGCTCTGCTGGGAACTAATACAATGCAAAGATGCTGTGTTTGGTCTTCTAGGAGCCTATAACATTTGAGGATGTGTCTGTGAACTTCACCAGAGGAGAATGGAAGATGCTGGAGCCGTCTCAAAGGGAGCTGTATAAGGAAGTGCTACTGGAAAACTTAAGGAACCTAGAATTTTTGGGTAAGACATCTCTTCATGATCTAGCATCTAAGAGAGCAGCTGTTTCATCCTGTTATCTGCAAGATAAATGACATGTGACTGTTTTAACTGGATCTGCTGGGCACTCAGGACCTGCTATGACAATTTCTAAAAGTGGACTTTCTGTGAGATTTCCTCCTAAAAAAAAAAAAAAAAAAAAAAAAAAAGTTTTGCTTCATTGCATTGGAAATGTGGGACATCATTTTGTTGTTCTCAGTATCATGCCTTCCCCTCCTTCCTTGGATTCGTCCTCTATATTTGACGGCATCTTTGTCTTCCTTAGAGAAACAGGCTAACTATGAATGCTAGGTCATCTTTGTTCTGTGTGTAAACAATCATTTTCTATTCTTTTCTCTGAATAGGCCTTCCAGTTTCCAAAATTGATTTGATTTCTCAGCTGAAGTGGGTTAAGTTGCCAAGGGCTCTAGAAAAAGAAATCTCAAAAGGTCCCAGACCAGGTGAGTTGGTAAAAGGTAAGAAGGAAATGAAATCCATGGGGGAAAGAAAACAAATTTTGAAATGCTGGGTGGACCTAACGCTAGAATATAATGTTGACTGACTAAAAGAGGGCCTTCATCTTCCTGGAATGTTCATTTTAATGGAGACACTATTGTTTGGGATCCTCCAAAAAGTAGATGCCAAGATGTGACTCCCAAACTGGAGATTGTTGGGAGAAATCAAGAGAAGGAAAATGGAGGAGGAGTATGGATTGTCGGGAGAGTACAGGGCAGGTACAACCTCTGATTGAGGAAGAAGGAAGGAGGCTGGGAAGAAAATGTTTGTAAAGTTTAGGCAAGGCCAAAGAGGAGGCCTTTGGCAGCAATCACACGAGAGGGGTTCCACATTTCACAGAAATGGTCCTGTTGATAGTGAGAGGGTGTGTGACAGTGGCCCTGATGTGAATACAGCAGCAGGGGCAGGCAGGCAGGCAGGAAGTCTCCCCACAGGAAATCCGAGAAGCATGTTCTTATGGACGGATGCTCAATGGATGCACAAAAGACCAATTATCAGAACAAGTGTGCTGGTGACACAATGCAGGCCATAAGAATGGCAAAAAAAGGGAACTGTGGAAGTCTGGGATGATAGATCAGACTCATAATGGCTTGTTTTAGAATGCAGAATGATACACTCCGTAGAAACGATACTTGACTAGCAGTGTGTGTTCTGCTACTCTTTTACAAGGCTGGGCAGCAGCATCACCCAGCAAAATCACCATCATATAGCCTCATGCTTGAAGCCCCACAGTTTGTTGAGTGTGTTGAATACATTTTTACTTAGGGTATTTTCAATTTACGATGACTTACCAAGACCTAATTCCATTGTAAATCAAGGAGCATCTGTATAAAGGAATAATAACTTAATTACCATTTGAATTTAATCTCAAAAGGTAAGTGGGAATTCAGCCAGTAAACGTGCATAATAATTCTATTTTTTTTTTTGAGTAAAATGATCACATGTCTAAATGCATAGGTTAACTATGGATTTTTAACATGTGGAAAACATTTATGTTAATATTTATGTTAGTTTTTATTATGTTAACCTTCAAGGAATTAGGGTGGGTTTTTTTTCTTTGTATCTTCCTAATTAAAAATAACTACATTTAATATATATTTATATATATAGATGCCATTACATATATTAGTACCTTCATTTTTTTAAAAATGGAATTTTCTAAAATGCTTATTTTAGTCAGCCTCTCAACTGTTTCCATTATAATTACATAAATTTAAAAAAACAATTATCTTTTTTTGTTTAAGCTACTATTTAGACATTAATCCCTAAAATGTGTCTTTGCACTGTTTTGTAGTACTGTACATGTCAAAAAGACATTGACATGGAGGGAAAGACAGATTTAAAATAGATAATTTTTTAACTTACACAAGTTAATAAAGAGCTAGCAGTATGTAACATTGAACACGTGAACAAACGAGCAGACAACTGACAAAACTGAAAATGTTAATGTCATGAACATGAAAAAGTTCAGACCTAGTCATTAATGGGACTGTTAATTTAAAGCAACAGTACCATTACAAATTGAGTATATAGATACTTAAGGATCATTGATTGGGGTAATTATGCACTGGACCCCAGTGTCTCGTGCATGCTAGGCATATGTTCTACCGCTGAACTATACCCCTAACTATAGGGATATCATTTGATAAACATTCAGTAAGGAAATCAGTAAATTATGTAGGATGGATTATCATGTAACTGACTAAAACTATCATTTTCAGCTAGGTGGTGGTGGCACATGCCTTTAATCTGAGCACTCGGTAAATCTCTGTGAGTTCAAGGCCAGTCTGGTCTATAAAGTAAGTTCTAGGACAGCCAGAGCTGTTACACAATGAAACCCTGTCTTGAAAAAAATTATTTTCAAAATTTACCAATGATATTGGAAATGTAGAAGAAAAATAACAATACATGTTTATTTTCCATATAGTTTAGAATAGCTGAGCCATATCTCTTAAAATTATTACTGTGTTCCTATGTCAATTCCAAATATATCAGCCTCCCTAATGCAAAATTGGAAGTAATTGCTTTGTTATCTCTTTTAGAGAGTGAATCTAGAAGTGAATTGGATGTTTTTATGGAAGACTTCACTTTAGAGAAAACAGTAGACTACTGCTTCAGTGATGATGGTTATGGCTTGAAAGCAGAATTCCAGAAACGACATGGCAAATCCAAGAAAGATCATAGCAAGCAGAGTAGCCATGAGAGAAAAGATTCTGACTTAAAAGAGACTCCCTCTGGAAAGAATTTGAAACAAACTTCAGACACAGTCAAACATCGGAGAACCTGCTTATCAAAGAAGACTTACAGGTCTAAGGAAGGCAAGAAACCCTTCATCTTTCATTCAGATCTTGTGAGCCGCAAAGAACACAATATAGAAAAGTCAAAGAAATTTGGTGGAAATGAGAAAGATTCACGTCACTCTTCATCTCTTACTGCACATAAGAGAAATCCGAGAATTGGTTCACTCAGTAAGACCCAGAAGTGTAGTAAGTGTGGAGTAGCCTTTACTCAAAGCTCATGGTATTGTAGTAAAAGCTCTCAATGTGAAAAGTGCCGGAAGAATTTACTTCAAGGTGAAACCTCAAATAAAGAAAAAGAACCTGAAGTTGAAGAGCCCAGTAAGTGCAGGAAATGTGGAAAATCCCTTGACAGTAGTTCACAACACTCTGTGTGTATGGAATGTAGAAAAAAAGCTCACAAAGCTAGTTCATCATCTAAACCACATAAAAAAACTGACAAAAATGGAAAGCCTTACAAGTGTGATGAATGTGGAAAAACTTTTGCTGGTTCACAAGCTATTGATAAGCATCGAAGAACTCATACTGGAGAAAAGCCCTATGAGTGTAAACACTGTGGGAGATCCTTCAGTGACAGCTCATCATTTTATCAACACCAGAGAATTCACACTGGAGAGAAACCATATAAGTGTAATGAGTGTGGGAAATCCTTCACTCATAGCTCCTCTCTTTCGAAACATCAGAGGATACACACTGGAGAGAAGCCCTATAAATGTAATGACTGTGGAAAAGCCTTCAGACAGAATTCTTGCCTTACCCGACATCTGAGAACCCACACTGGAGAAAAACCATATGTTTGTAAGGATTGTGGATCATCTTTTAGCCTTTTTAGTACTATCATCTATCATCAAAGACTTCATGCAGGAGAAAAACCCTACAAATGTACCCACTGTGATAAAGCCTTCCCTACTCATTCCCGCCTCGGTCGTCATTTAAGATGTCACACTGGTGCAAAACCATACAAATGTAATGAATGTGGGAAAACTTTCAGACAGAGTTCATCTCTTAATTTACATCTCCGAAGTCATACTGGAGAGAAACCCTACAAATGTGATTATTGTGGAGCAACCTTTACTCGGAGCACAATTCTTATTGAACATGTAAAAACTCATACTATGTATGAGTGTAAAAAATGTGGTAAGAAATCTAAAAGTCGGGCAGCCAGTCTTAAACATCACTGTACCGAGTAATTCTGGGAAAGTAGTAAATGGAGGGGAAATTAATTCCAATTGTGCCCTTATTTTAAAACTTGACATGTAAACTACCCAGAGCATTGATTAGAAACTTCAACTTCAATGGGTTAACAACTAGGAATAGCCTTTTTTCCCCTTTGGTCTCTCTTCTTGAGGGTGGTCAATTTTGACTAGAGTTGGTAAAGTTATGTTGACATGAAGAAAGCATATAAAGTGAAATGATTCTGAAGACAAACTTAAGTTTGAAAGACTTTCTTCAAGGATTTCTCTTTGACTTCCTTTCCATGACCATGCAGTATAATGGAAAAGAACATGACTGAACTCTAATAACTTAGGCTATATCCCAGATGGCCAATCAACCACTATGTCATTCTAAACAAGTCATTTGAATCTTCTGAATATTAGTTTCTTTACTAGTAGAGTGAAGAGATAACATTAATGATTTCTAGGTTTTCTATTTAGCTGATATTCTGATATTGCAGAAGATAATTTGAACATGTTTGATTTGTTGGAAGTTTTACTTCTGGTTTAGATGCTTATTGTTTTAGGATAGTGGACTTCTAGATTAGTGACAATATGGAATGTTTGATGTAGGGTATCTAGAATGTGATAAACAGAATAAGTCAGGGAAGCTCATCAAAGTTTGCTTTCAGGGAATGTTCAAATTTGCACAAATCACCCTGGTATCCTTATCTTTTGAGTTTTGCCTCAGTAGATTGAGAATCCAGAGAGCTTGTACATGAGCCAGCTCAGACATGAAATTAACAGTCTGAGAAGAAAAACCAAAACGAGCTGTTTTGGATGGATTATTCCCCCTTCAGTGATCACAGTCTCCTGCACCACAGTGTAAGAATTTTGATTGGTATAAGATGCTAGATTGAATCAGATTGCATCTTTACAATAAGATGCTAGATTGAATCAGATTGCATCTTTACACATGTTTTAGGGTGGGGTATGTATATACACACACGGTTTTCACTCTTTAGAAATAGGGAATTTTGTGTTTTAAAGAGTTTGTCATTAAAATCTGTGCAGGAGCTAACCACATTAGCCTATTATGTCTATTGAGTGCTCAGCTGGTCCTGGGTGTGATTGCCACTTAAATGCCAGCTTTCTCTTTTACCTGGCCTTCTTACTGCAGCCTGTGATATTTTGTTACTCTGCCATTTAGACAATATATACACTAAAATCTCAAGGGAGCCCTATTGAGAACAAGTAAAATTCAGGACAAGAACTCAGAAGTAAGTTGTACTTGATATTTTCTTTGGTGAAATGAGACTTCATGGAATGGACTATCTGGATATTGACAGGTTGATGGAATCTTAATTTCTAACTGAGAAAGGAATTCAAGACCCTGAATGAGCTAGTTTGGGTTTCGGGTCATTAGATTCCAGAGGGACTTGATTGTGGTATAGAAATAAGTTCCTAAAGTTGAAATTTGAGGCAATTCCTAGAGAGAGAACTAAACCAGATCCTGGTTTTACAGGTATGAAGGTTCTCCAATGCTGATCTGAGACTCAGGAATATTTGTTGATGTGCTTAGGTTTGAAATGTGCTACCTCTGGATATAAGGTTTTTGGTTTCTTCTGGGTGGCTCCATCCTCCTTATCCCAAAGTCTAAAAAAAAGCAGACATTATTCTGTGATACATTAATCAGTATACCTGTTGCCAAATGGACAAAGTAAACATATTCCTGACATCAAAGGAACCTGGCATGTAAGAATAACTCACGGGGGCTTAACAGTTTTCAGAAATGATATATTTTATTGAAATAATTAATGAAATGCATAAAACAATTCTTGAGAATGACATCTGTCCCAGGTTGTTCCAGGGAGTTCCACATGAGGCTGTTTTTATCCCAATCTCAGTTGGGGATTAGAAACAAAACATTTTTTTTAACTTCATTAAAATACAGAACACATATGCTTAAAAACTAAGTTGTACCATTCAGTGAGTTTTTGTCACTTCAGAACATCACCCAAATAAGAGTACCTATTGGATACACCCATTTATACATAATTCCTACTCTCATCTCTTATACCCAGGTAACCACCAACCTACTTCATATTTATAGAATGGCCTTTTTTAGTCATTTTATATTGGTCTTTGTTTCTCCAATAACATCATGTTTTTTAAGTTTATGCATAGTATAGCCTATGTGATTTCTATTAAAATGTTATTTGTTGGTATTGTTTGATGTTAAATGGTAGTCTATTGTATGGATACCTTATGCATTTACCTGTAAGAGGACATTCTCTTCTTTCTCCCTAGATAGTTGGCTGCTAGGAACAACACTGTGAATATAATATGTAAATTTTATAGATATTAGTTTTAATTGTTTCCTTAGTAGACATCTATAGGTAGAGTTTCTGTGTCATGTAAATTTTTGTTTAACTTTTTAGGAAATGCCAAATTGCTTTCTAATGTGACTACATCATTTTAAATTCTGGCCATTAGTCTGTGGATGTCCCATTTTCTTTACATCCATGCCAATCTTTAAAAAAAAAATCTTATCCTGATAAAGTGGCATTTCCATATGCTTTCAATTTGCAGTTGCCTGACCTAATGTCATCATGTACCCATTACTCAGCCTTTCACATATCTCTTTTGAGTTTATTTTCAAATTTCTTATCTATTTAAAAGTCAGGATGGTTGGGTTACAATAAGTTCTTTATCTACATACAATCCCTTATCCAATATGAACTTTCTATCACTGTGTTCTAGAAGAAAACTACAAATCCTACTGTAAAATATTCATCAATAACTAATGATTGCCTGAAAGGCATTCAGTCTGGCCTAGCACCCACATACTTAAATCTATTTTTAGATTGTCAGGTCATCTAAAGGCTTTAAATTTATGATTTATGACTCCTCATAGGATTTGTTTTTAAAGCTTTATTTAGCATTTTTAGTTGTTTATAGTGACAAGAATTTTTAATCCACTCTGACACATTGTAAAATAAAGTCCTTGTTCTTTAGAATGTTTTATAAAGAGTTTCTATATAGAGTTTTCTTTCAAGTCACAGGATAAGACAAAGTCCCTGTCAGTGAATTTACTTTATACTTTTTACTTTAGAATTATTTCTGATGTAAAATATGTATACCATAAAACGAACCATTTTGATCTTTTTAGTTGAATGATTCCGTGATGCTCATTTGCAGTTGTTATTCATCCTCAGCACTGGTCCACTCTTCCACACTCAACTCATTGAAAATGTATTCTCCGTTTTCTTCTCTCCCAAGCTCCTGGTTGTCACAATTCTACTTCCTTTCCACATCTGGCTCTTGTTAGTCCCTCACATTAATAATGATACAGTATGTGTCTTTTCGTGTCTGGCTTATGTCACTTGGCATGTAATATCTGCAGACACTCAAGGAAGTCTTAGTTGGATTTTCTAACACAGGAAATCTTAAACTCTTGTGTCATCCAGGTACCAGTGATACAAAAGGACACAAGGTCATTGCATGTATCCTGTCTCATTGGCTCCATAACCTGTCATCTGCACATGCACAACCAAGAGTCTGTTTTCAAAAACTGAGTAAGAACACTTACAGCATGAATCACAAACTGTAAAAAAGCAACGAGGAAAAAGCTATCTCTTGCTTTAAAGTGGTGACCTACTTGGTCTTTCAACTCAGCTACAACTTTATCTCCTTGAGAGAAACTAATCCTTCTGTTAGCTGCCATTCATTAAACATGAAAAACATGTTTAATAAATGAGAAGTTTGAGATTTGAGGTGATGAATTGGCTTCTCCTTGTAAATTTAGGTGTTCTTTGAGACAATATAATCAAAGTTCTTGCACAGTGTCTTACACGGATCATCTAAAACTAAAACAATACTTGAAATTTTTCAGATTTTTCAGTCAGTTGATTTTTGATAATAGAAATGTATATATTCTGTGAGAAAATAGTGCTCGTGTGTACCCTGAGAAGAATTGCTAAATGGTGTAGTGTTTCCTGTTTCCATTGGTATTTTTCAAATTGTCGTTTTCTCCAGTTTTTGAGTGAGTTATAGCAATTGGCTTTGCTTTTATCTATCCATGGTTCTATTTGCACGTGTGTGCATGTGCAAGGGTCAAGCTGCTGTGTAGTTGGCATGCTTGCAATCCGAAACCTGTTTTAAAAGTTGTTAAAGGTATTTTGGTTAGAAATTTAGATTTCATTTAGCTAGTTTTTGTGGCTTTTTAAAACTAAGTTGTTGAAAAGAGATATAGAACTGAAATATCACTTTCAGTCTTGCCTACTGTGTTATCTTCAATACTTGAACTTGATAGCTTTTGTGTCTGCTGCTGCTGTAAATTGCAACTGACATTTGTCAGTGACTGTGCACTGGACCCTGTTTTAGTCCCTTCTTTCCCTAATGTGCCACTTACAGTAAGCGCTTCTGTGTCTGCACTGAATTCTGCCTTAGAAATATGCCTTTGACTAAACTTTAAATATTTTTCCATGTATTTTTACCTATAGGATAATCACAATTCCACTAAGAAGAATTTTGACTTATGGTTATAAATTATATGTAATGCTCTAACTTGTGCTATCTGCATAATATGTTGGTGTAATCCATTATGATATTCAATCTGTGCAGAGACAACTATCATCTGTTGGTTTATCAATACTGAATAGATTGGTGCCATATTTGTGTGTCACTAAAAAATGCACGATCCTCAACAATGCTGACAGCGTCCTGTGCAGTGTAGTAATCATAGTTCTACTAAAACAATAAAGTTGTACTTAATATAGAGTACATCCTGCCTTGGGTCTTGTTTGTTTTGTTTGTTTGTTTGGTCTTTTTTTTTTTTTTCCCCTTTATTGAGACAGGGTTTCTCTGGCCTGGAACTCATGGAGATCTGCCAGCCTCTGCCTCCCCAGTGCTGGAATTAAAGGCGTGTACCACCACCCCTGGCTCTGGTTTTATATTTTTTAAGACAAAGTTTCTCTGTGTAGATAGCCCTGGCTCCTGGAACTCGCTCTGTAGACCAGTCTGGCCTGGAACTCAGAGATCCACCTGTCTGTGCCTCCCGAGTGCTGGGGTCAAAGTCATGTTCTACCACCACTCAGCCCTGCTGGGTTTTTACCTTTTTTAGTCTTTTGAAATTTATTTCTCTCTCTCTCTCTCTCTCTCTCTCTCTCTCTCTCTCTCTCTCTCTCTCTGTGTGTGTGTGTGTGTGTGTGTGTGTGTGTGTGTGTGTGTGTGTGTGTGTGTGTATGCATGGACATACCTGTCATGTCATGTGTGGAAGCACGAAGACAATTATGAGAGTTGATTCTCTCCCTCCACCATGTCTTAGGTTGTCAGCCTTGTTGGCAGGTCCCCTTACCTGCTAAGCCATCTCATTAGCCCTAGGTTTGAATTTTTTGAAATAAGTACCATGTATATCTCTGGTTATCAGTAGCCTCCACTAGTTACCAAATTGGACGGAAGAGTTGGAGAAAGAAATATTTTTGTTGTTTATCTATTTTTTTGTTTTTACAAACCAATCAAAATTTCTCCTCTTCCCAGTTCCTTCCTCCC